TTTGGTGTCCCGCCTGCTGCTCCTCAAGCCTCTGCATCTCTTTACGTCGGCGAGCTGGATCCCTCCGTCACAGAGGCTATGCTTTTCGAACTGTTCAACAACATTGGTCCCGTTGCCAGCATCCGTGTTTGTAGAGACGCTGTTACCAGAAGATCTCTTGGCTATGCTTATGTTAATTTCCATAATGTTGTAGACGGTAGGTATTTCTGTTGATCTATTAAATTATTTATATTTCTGGTGATTTCTAAGTAGACTTTAAAATAATCGCGACATTCTACAAATGATTTAACGCTTACTGCGCATATAGTCTTGAGCTAAAGAAAAATTTTTATTAAAAAGATCAAATATTTTTTATTTTATTTTTTATTTTAATATTTGACTAATTTGATCTCTTTTCTCTCTTTCTCTCTCTCATACTTAGGTGAGCGTGCTCTTGAATCGCTCAACTATACTTTAATCAAGAATAGACCATGCAGAATCATGTGGTCTCAACGTGATCCTGCCCTTCGAAAAACTGGAACTGGCAACATTTTTATCAAGAACCTTGATAAGTTGATTGACAATAAGGCTCTTCATGATACATTTTCGGCATTTGGTAATATCCTTAGTTGTAAAGTTGCCATGGATGATGGTGTCTCTAAAGGCTATGGTTTTGTACACTATGAAACTGCTGAGGCAGCTGAAAATGCTATTAATTCCGTCAACGGGATGTTGTTAAATGATAAGAAAGTGTATGTATAATTTTTAGAATATTTCTTGATTGGTTTCTATTGTTTATCATTATAAAATTTCTTTTTGTTCATCAACTATTATAGATATGTTGGTCATCATGTCCCTAAGAAAGAACGCCAATCAAAACTTGAAGAAATAAAGGCGAAATTCACCAACATTTATGTTAAAAATCTTGATACTGAAGTCACTTTAGTGGAATTCAGTGATATATTTGCTAGATTCGGTCTGATAACTTCTGCTGTCATTGCTACAGACGAACATGGAAATTCCAAGGTATTTAATCTTTTTAATTTATTTTGAATTTAGTAATTTACTATTTCATATAGTTTCTTATATGCGTTTTTATTTCCCATTAGGGCTTTGGTTTCGTTAACTATGAGAATCATGAGGAAGCTGCTAATGCAGTTAATGATCTTCACGATACCGAGCTCAAAGGCAAAAAGCTATTCGTAGCTCGCGCTCAGAAAAAGCATGAGCGTGAAGAAGAACTGAGACGCCAATACGAACAAGCTAAAATGGAAAAATTAAATAAATATCAAGGCGTAAATCTTTATATCAAGAATCTTGAAGACGACATTGATGATGAAAAATTACGACAAGAATTCTCGGTGTACGGTGTAATTACAAGCGCTAAAGTAATGAGGGATGAAAGGGATCAATCAAAAGGTTTTGGTTTCGTTTGCTTTTCTTCTCCTGATGAAGCTACCAAAGCTGTAACCGAAATGAATGGCAGGATGATTGGTAGCAAGCCAATATATGTTGCACTTGCCCAACGTAAAGATGTACGCAAATCTCAATTAGAAGCTCAAATCAACCAAAGGAATCAACTCCGTATGCAACATCAAGCGGTATGCATTTTTTTTTTTAAAAAAATTTTATGTTAGTTGCGACCTGATTCTAATATTCATTCGTAATAAATGATATATAGGCAGTTGGAATGGGTGCGGGTGCTTATATGCCTGTCGGTTATGCTCACCCAGGAACGTATGGTAGAATTGGTGGAGGTCGTCCTTCTCACTTTTACGGTAGTGTTGGTATGATCAATCCCGTCCCCGGTTCAACTCAAAACCTCCGAACCAACAACTACAATCAAATAGTTAATCGTCCTAATGGGCGTCCTCAAGGTGCTCCACAAAACGCTGGTCGTCCTAATGCCAATAATCGTGGTGCTAGGAATCAATATCAACCAGCCAAACAACACAACCAATATTCTCAGAATAATCGCGCTACCAACGGACAAAGTTTGTCTAATGCTCGTAATGCTGCACCAGTTTCACAAAGTAGCACTTCTGCTGTGTTCGATACTAGAAAATTCGCTGGAGTTTCACCCGAAGCGCAAAAACAGATACTTGGTGAACAACTTTTCCCTAAAATCTCTGACCGTCAACCTGAATTGGCCGGTAAAATTACTGGTATGTTATTAGAGATGGACAACAGTGAATTGTTGCACCTTTTGGAAAATAAAGCCGCTCTTGACTCTAAAGTAAGCATATATTTATTATTTATTCTCTCGTTTATTCTAAAACTTTGATTTTTCTTTAATCGGTTTATTACCTTCTTTAAAAGGTCGATGAAGCTGTTAATGTATTGAAGCAGCATGCTATGAGCACTGGTCTAAACTTCCCCGATCCGGAATAAATCATATCATGTATGTACTGTATTTATTATAGATAAGTTAAAACGAGATAAACTTAATAACTTCTTATAATTTTTACACTCAGATCAATCATGGAGAAAGACATATTAAAAAGAAGTGTAAACGAATGACGATTAACAGATTATATGCTTAAATTCCATTTACTATTCCTTCTTCGTATTTCAACTTGCTAATTTAGTTTAAAAAATTAATTTTCTGCTTTTTTTTTCATTTATCATTTTACTATTAAATCAGTACACATGTACCAAAGAAGGGATATAGTCTGGATAGTTTGCTAATTTGTTTTTTGCTTTTGTTTATTACTTTTTATTACGCTTTCTCTTAACGTGTTATGTAGTTAAAAAACTATTAATTTTTTTTTTTCATTTTTTTTTTTTTTATATAGACACTATTTTTCTTATTGAGAGTTGCATAATAATTTATCAACCCTCTTTATCTTTTTAGCTTCACATTATTATAATTAGTAATAACTTTTATTTTTTACGTTTTTTTATTCTTAAAACCTTTGGTTTTCTTTTTCTTTAATAAATCTTTTGTTGGAACATTTGTGCAAGAGCAAATTACAGATTGGATTGTTTTAAATTAATCATACATAATTCATTATTAGTTATTTTATTATATCATATTTTTATTTATATCTCATACAATTAAATATATATAAATATTAAAAATATATTTAATTAACAAGCAAATTGGTATTAAATGATATTTTATAAAAAACATTTATAAATTTTTTATCATATAACTAATTTAAAATATTATAATATTTTAGTGATTATATTATTAAAATAAAAATAAAAATGTATATTATACAATTAATACAATTAATTTATAATTTATAATTATATTTATAATTATAAATATATTATTATTTTTTAAATTTTATTAATAATTATATAAAATGCTAATATATATATATATATAATATATGTAATTGCTTAAAATAATTTAAACTCGATTATAATTCTTATAAACAAATACAATTTAAATCAAATAAATGAATAATACTTATTTTTTTAAATAATTTTTTTATAATTAGAAAAGTTATTATTTATTATTATTTTTTTTATATATTAATTTTATTTAAATATAAAGTTTTTTAATCAAAATTTTCTTTATTATAAATAAATCACATTTAATTTTTCACATTATTTGTCATAAGACTATATCACTTAATGTTGTAATTCGGGCCAAAAAAATCTATCAAATCATGTGATCTAACACACCCTCATTCGATTTTCTTAGGTTGACGAAAAATTAATGCTAATTGAAGTATCAATAACTTGACAACATATATATATATGAGTATTTTAGTTAAACATACTGAATTTTTTTTTCGTTCTTCAATAAGAAATTCTAAACAATTGTTTTTACGGAAGGAAATATCTTCATATAATTCTTTGGTAGACTCTCACAAGTACTTTTTATGCTACCTGAAAATGGATATTATTAAAACACAATCATATCTTCGTTGTTCCCGTTCCTCCATATTTAAAGTAATCTTAATTTTAGGAAAGGACGGTATAAAGATTATCACGTGGCTTGGATTTACCAAAGACACATGATTTTATGGCACTTGAACCAAAGGAGGAGGTTGAGAATTATTCTATATTTATTATAGTTGGATGTACTGTACATGCAGAAAATCATCTACATTAAATGAACTGTCATAAAACGTTTGACACCTTTTGGGAAACAATTGTTTACCTGTGTTACCAAAAAAATAAATACTTGTGCAACATAATAAAAATGGTTGCCGTTTCAGCGTATTTTCATTCATTCTTTCTCGTCCAAAATGTCTTCTTCCAATCCTTTTCCATCTCTAGAAAATAATATACAGTTGCTCAGAACCTCATTAAATGTTCTTATTTAGTTTTATTCATTTTCTAATATAATAATAAATCATGTCTTCAATACGCATTTTTAAGCTTACTTACCTTTTTTATGTTAGGCAATATATGGTCGCACGAGCAACATCATTGAACATAGAGCCGCTCCAAGGTAAGTAAATTCTTTTGATGACTTTAGTTCAATCCGATGTGATGATATTTTGATTTTGATTTTGACTTATTTTTTTTTATTATAGTCATCAGCAAACGAGTTATGAACCCTCAAAAGAAGATTTAGATGCTTTAGAATCAATGAAAACGCAATTTCATGCAGTATGTGATGAACTTTATCTCAATTTGGTAAGTAACGCATAAAATTTTTTATCTTATCTTTTTAAATTTAAAAATTTATGATTTTGGACGTATTTATTTATTGTTCAGCAAAATGCTAAAAAAGTTCTTCTACGAGATTACCACGAGAATTTTAAGGATTTGATAAATGAGAACAAGCAAAGGGAAGAAATTATTGCGGAAAAGATGATAACTCAAAATAAAAAAATTGCATCATTGGGAAAAATTTTAGAAGTAGATAAATTGCCAGCTCAAGATGCTTCATCTAAAATAGTTAAAATGGATGAATCTTGACATGATTGGATGACATGTACTTATGCAATCACAATCATAGCTTATTATTTAAGGATTTTTTTTTTTTAAAAAAAAAAAAAAAAAAAAAATCTAAAATTAACTAAACTACTGAAAGGCTTGATAATGTGGCCTGTGTCTCAATGACCTATAAAATAGATATAACGCGTTATTTTAAAATATATAAAATAAATCAAAAAATTTTGTCATATTACAAATACAGACCTCAATCGCCTGCTTAATTTCCAAATGATTCCTGGCAGCTTTGATCCAATCTTCTGCCAATTTCTTTGGCCATCCTTTTAACTGATTTAACTCTCGCGTTGCAGTATCTAAATCATTTTCGTTAAGATGATATTGAACTCTTGCAAGAATTGATTCAACATCACTTCCTTCCACAAGTCCATGCTTATGAAATAAAACCTTTGAAAGCATAATGGACAGAAGGTGAGCGAATACCCCACCATTTTCAGGAACCAAAGACGCGCGTCGTACTTCATCTCTTACGGTTGCAAACCGAGCTGATAAATCTGATATGGAATCCACTCCATTATTTGCAACATTATCATCAATCGTAGACAATACAGTAGTTACAATTTCATCGGTTGAAGATAAATGTCTCATAGCAGCAATCTGATTAGCAAAAGGAATTCGATCAGGTTGTTCGATTGCGTTTTGTAACGCTCTTAACGCACACCATAATCTATGAGTTTTAAGACTATCATCCAAATGTTCAGCATTATCTACGCTTATACGTTCAAGAATCTTAAGATGATGGTTAATGTTGTCTAGCCTTGCTAAACGTCCACCGCGCTCTTTTTCAACCATAAATTTAACGTCTCGAATCCATCTTCGTTGTATCTCAACAGATTGTCGAAAAAGCTCATTTTTCAATTCCTCGTTGTGTCTGGCAGATTCACGAGCGAGTTCACTATTAAACTGTTCATAATGTTGTTCATAAATGCGTTTCTTTTCATCTTCTAATTGTCGCTTTAGTTCATTTTCTTTTGAAACATATAGCTGATTATACTTTTCGTTTTGTTCAGTTATATGGGCTTGAATTCTTGCTTGATCTTCAATTCTAAGAAGATCAATATGAGTACCAAGTTCCCTTAATTCTTCCTTTGCTCTTTTAATAAGATCGTCTTTATCCTTAACATCATAATTATCAAGAATGTCAATGAGTTCATTTAGAGTATAAGTAAGTTTAAGAAGAATAGGATCTTCGGGTAATTCTATTTTTCTTTCCTTAACAATTTTTTCTATGGGAACTTTTACGGTATCAGGTTGTTTAAAAATTTGATTCACCCTATTAAAAACATCCTTACCCTTATCGAAAGCTTTATTGTTAAATTGTTTAACATCCTTTCTAATTCTTTCAAAAGTTCCTTGCCTTTGAAGATCTTCAAAATATTCAACAGATTTTTCGGCTCCATAAACATGTTCAACAAAAGCATCACGAAAATCTTCATGTTCAAGAGAGTAATATACAGCACCACCATAAGCTATACCACCAAAGATTGTTATACCTAAAATGAATTTACCAAATCCAAATCCTTTTTTCTTTGCAAGTTCTTCTTTAACAGCATTATTGGCTGCGAGCTCTTCTTTAACGGTTTCAGTAGGGGTAGCACCTTTAAAAGGGGTGGCCCCGTTAGTAGCAGCTTTAGAAATATCCGAAGTCGACTTCGAAGTTGTTTCGGTACTATAAATTCTCTGTATATGGTATGGTTTAGTTGGTTACAGTGTTTAAAAAAACATTTATCACCAACAACTTTTTTTAAGAACTATATTATGCGTTGCGAAAAAGTAAAATAAATAAATAAATAAAATATCAAAAGAAACCTTTCTAGTTTGCAAGAAATTTTGCTGTCTCGTAACATTCGGGGAAAATGAATTTGCAGTCCTCACACGGGCAGCTTGCCGTATAGCTCCCAACATACTTAAAGTAATGATATTTTAAAAAAATATATAATTTATTCCTTCGATAATTTGATATTGACTATAAATACCATCTATAGATGATGCATACATGGCATTTCGAGATTATTAAAAAAAAAAAAGGAAAAAAAAAAATTTGATAATAAGTAACAAGGCAGTGTAACAATTCTCGAAAAATCCCACAGAAGGTGATGGGATCGATCTCGTCATCCGGGGCGGAATCCGTTAAAAACAATTATGGATCGACTCATTCATCAAGCGAATCCGGGTCCCGCTCAAAAATTCAATCGAAACGTTAGGAAGATATGGCTTCTTCTAGAGTTTGGACTCGAGTCAGAAAAGTTAACTCGAGTCAAAGTCGAATCAAGAAATTTTTGACTCGAAGAGTACTCAAGTTGGAAATTCGAGTCAGAAACTCGAGTCAAACTCGAATCAAGAAATTTTTGACTCGAAGAGTACTCAAGTTGGAAATTCGAGTCAGAAACTCGAGTCAAACTCGATTTAAAGTCATAATGCGGGCCAAAATTTTGTGATATTTTTGGGGCCGAACTAAAGGATAATTATATTATGCTAATAAATGCAGTTTAAGAAAAGAATTACACGCTATTTATAAAAATATAGCATAAATTTGAGTAGTTTTAATTCGAGTCAACTCGAATTCTGACTCGAATCAAGAAAATCTTGACTCGAATCAGATTTAACTCGAGTTAAACGAATAAGAGTCCAGTCTCTAGCTTCTTCAAATAGTAACGTAGAAACGCATAATGAATTATTAAGTAACATATAATAAATAATAAAGCAGGATTATAAATGTCATAATAAATAAAAAAAAAAATGTGCCCATACATGGCTACAGATACGTCTTTAAAATTAAACAAGGGCAAGATTATTCACTAATTATGAAAAAGTATGATTACTAAGTATGGTCTTATGCATTTCTCGGTTGTTATATTTCATGTTTTGACCCTTTTTTATGATATTGAAATAGTCATTTCGTAAATAAATATTTTTAAATATTGGTTCAAAATCGATCCTAAAGATCGTCTAAAAATCGATAAAGATCGGATGGATCGGATCCTACACAGATACACAGAACAGAAACACAAACCGTAGAGATATCGCGACACTTTTTTTTGTTTTTACAGGTTCTGCTCCTTATAAAAGACTACTCAGAATGAACGGGATATTTTCTAAGGATACCATTAAGGTAAAATTGAATTAAAAAAAAAATTTTTTTTTTATTTTAATTCTTTGTAAAAAACTAAGTAACATATACAAAACATATTAGATCACCGCGGAAACAGTTGGAGTTACAAACTTAAAAGACACAGTAGCCTCCGCGTTAGCGCACGATGTAGAATATAGAGTCCACGAGATAATACAGGTGGTTTGCGTTTTCACAAATCGCCAAGTGTTCCGCAAAAAAAATTATAAACTTAAACTATTACGGAAATATGCTTCGAACAGGAAGCGAACAAATTCATGCGTCATTCAAAACGAACCAGACTTACGGGGGAAGATATCAATAATGCTTTACGTGTTCGTAACGTAGATGTAAGTGTTGTTTTAAGTAATTTTATTATTATTATAATTTTTTTAACTGTTACTTAACATTACAATTTTATTAATAGCCGTTATACGGTTTTAGCCTAAATGACAATTCAAAATTCCAACGTATTACGACTGCCCAACACGACCTCTTTTATGTTGAAGATGATGAATGGGAATTCGAAAATGTTATTAGTTCAGCAATGCCCAGAGTTCCTACTGATATTTCTTTTAGCGGTTAGTGCATTTTCAAAGTAAATCGAATGAAAAAAAATCTTTTTTAACATTTCTCTGTCATTTAAAGCTCATTGGCTTGCGGTAGATGGTGTACAACCATCAATACCTCATAATCCAGTTCCACTTCCACCATCTGAAGAAGGTAATAAAATTTAAATGAATAAAGATTCATTGCTGCTTTAATAATTCTTTTTTTTTTGTCATAAGCATCCAAAACAGAAGTGCGCAAAAAGAACATACCTCAAAGTGATGATTTGCAGATTAAAGCTGGATTACCTGTTACAAATAATGTAGAGGTTAAACCCTTAATTCAACATGTTTTATCCATGGAACATCAAATGTTTTATGAAAGAGTTACAAAGGCTATGAGAAGTGAAGAAATCAAGGATTCGAAAACCAAAATTGCGGTTCTTCATAGTCTAGAACATGACACAGGATTGGCTCAACTTCTTCCGTATTTCATATCGTTTATTTGTGAACAAGTAAGTTTTTTTTTTTCCTCAATTGGTCATCCTTGAACAATGAATTCTAATAAGAAAATCTATCATTATAGATTGGAATACATGTAAAGAAAAATTTCAATGTTTTAGAGCCAATGTTAAAAATGGCAGAGGCTTTAATTAATAATAAAAGCCTTTTTTTGGAACCTCACGTGAGTGTTATGATATCTTGCTCTTAATTGTTTACTTATAACAAACTTGTACTTATTGGTGACAATATTGTAGCTGCATAATTTGATGCCAGCAATATTAACTTGTGTGGTTAGAAGGAAATTGGGATTATCAATGGGTGATAAACATTGGTCCTTACGTGAATTGGCTGCACGTATCCTTGCCAAAATATGTGATCGTTATGGTGCAAGTTATAATACTCTTCAGCCTCGAATCACGAGAAATTTAATGAGTTGTTTTATGGACACTAGTAAATCATTATTCACTCATTATGGATGTATAGTTGCCATGGGTGCATTAGGTCGTGAAGTAATTAGATCTATTTTAGTTCCAAATTTGAAAACATATGGTGATTTACTTTCATCTTGTGCAAATGATCCTGATCAAATAAAACGTGATGCTGCTACTAAATGTTATAATACTATTGTGGTATGCATGGATTTTTTTTTTTATAATATTTATGTATATAAATAATATTATTAATGCGTTATTTTATTGATAGGACATACTGGCAAAATTAAAAGAGACTGTAGATCCCTTAATTGATATTGAACTGCAAGAAACTCCGAATTTACATGAAAGACTAGAAAATAAAATAGGCAAATTTTTCGCGGATGGTGTACTAAGACAAATCGGCGATGATCATATTATTATGGCGATAATTAATTCATAAGCTGTTATACAAATTTTGTAAATTATATTTATTTGCAAGTTTTACATAATAAAATTCTTTGGATTTATACAAAGGTTTCAAATTTATTTTTATTTTTACTTTTTATTTTTATTTTTGTTTTTATTTATTTATTTTATTTTTTTTTTTTTAAAAAATAATTATTAAATATTTAATTTATATTAATGATTTGATTTATTTCATCTCCATAACAATTACCTACAAAATGAATATAAAGATGATTATATTTTATGATTTATATAATATATAATAATTAACAGCTTAGGATTTTAATTACGTTGCCGTTTGCCAAACTAAACGCTATCTTAGAGCTTAATGTATCCCAATGAAGACGGTATATCGGTGAATCTGTTCTATATGAAATTTTAATTTCAAAACTCTAAAATAAAAAAAAAAAGTTTTTGTTAGAACTTACAAGGATAAAATAAAGAAAACAAAAAAAAATTTTTTTTGTTATATTCACTTTGGCATCAATAATCAACAAATTTTGATCATACGACCCTAGAGCAAGAAATGCTCCATTCGGACTAAATTCGAGTGTAGATACAATGGATTGATTGTTTTTAATCTCCTTAAGTTTTTTACCATTCTCTGTGTCCCATATCGTCACTTTATGATCTTTTGTAGCACTAAAATAGAAATAAAACTGTCGCTAATTACTAATAAGAACATAACAATTGTGTTTATTATATGTTGTACTTACGTAGCAAGAATGTAACCTGTTTCTTTTTTCTTGCTAGTCGTCTTTAAACTGGACCAAGCTAAACAATGTACTTCACTATCATGATTAAGTGAATTTATTTCCTTTTTATTTTCTTTCCAAATCTTTTTCATAAGGTAAATTTATATTTAGTACAAATAATTTTTTTTTTTTTTTTTTTTTAATAATATAAACAAACCTTAACCGTAAAATCTGAAGAGCCGCTTGCCAAATAAGTCTTACTGTTGTCGTAGGCCAAACATTTGACAGGTCCTTTATGACCAGTTAACGTTTTAATCGGATTTTCTTGATCAATGGTATAAACCAATATATTATTTTTTGTACTTGCAACAAATAATTCATCACTAGACCATGCAATGTCATATAAAACTACAAATACAAGAATGATTAAATCAGAAATGATTTGTTCTAATAAAAGTCTAAAATAAATAAATACTAACTTTCGTGCTTATACTGCCCAACGGTGTTTCCACGCTTATCAGTACAAATGCTAAATCCATCTTGAGTAACTGTAAGTAAATGTTCGCCCCTTGGGCTCCATTTAATCGTTAAAACTGAATTTTGACGAGAACTACTACGTAAAGCCCCTATAAATAATAATTAACAAATGATTTAATATTATACGTATATATCAAAACATTTTAAATACTAGTACATACCTTTAGAATTATAAATACAAAATAACCCATCCGAATATGCAATAGCTATTGTATTAGCCTCTGTTGGCTAATGAATAAATTAAGCTATTTTTAAATTATGTCTTGATGAATTTAAACAAAGAGGTGAAAACTTATTGTCTACCCACGTTCCAATCTAGACAACAAACAGATTCTGAAGATTTATTAAACAAATGTTTAATGAGTGTGGGTTGCGTATTGTTTTTTTGCCAATTAGAAATATTCCAGATTCGCAAAGTGCCGTCTGAACCACTAAATAAAAAGTAAAAAATTAACATTATAATTGATATTCATTGATTCTTTGTCTTAAATATTCACCATGTTGCTAAGACATTAATGTCTTTTGGATTCCATGCACATAAAAACACATCTTCATTGTGTCCTTTTAATTCTATGATGTTATAGGAGGATGCCCCTGAAATCGCCTGGTTGGCTGAAGAGTATATTAAAATGAGCATATATATATTATATATATTAAGATGCTAGTATGCTTAAATTAAACGGATCTTTTTTACCATTGTTTCGTATAAGTTCAACTTCCACTTCCCGATCTCTTTCCTTAATTCTTTTTCGATCTCTCATACGTTCATCTTTTTTACGATCTTTTCCTCTAGTACGATCTTTTTCTTTTTTTTGTTCTCTCTCTTTATTATGTTGTTGTTCTTCATCAAGATGTTTAAGTTCTTCTTCCTCGGTTGAAGATTCGTATTTACGCTTTTTATCATTATTTAGATTTAAATTATTATCATTGTTCTCATTGATTTGATTTGTTTCATTAACATCAGTTATCTCATTTATAGAATTTTGACTTATAGAGGGTGTTGAATTCGATATACAACGGTGTCTATGTATTAAATGTAGAGGAGCATTACATTTAATTGTAGATTCATCCTAAAAATAGAAATTTTATTTATCGATTGAATTTAAATCGTATTCAAATTAATATACAAAGTAGATATATTGTTGTTTACAGGTTGTGCATGTAACTCCATGTCCATATAAAAAAGTCCCTTATATATGATCTTTACAAGTAGTCCAGCTTCTATATCTTTTTCGGAAACACTTTTTCTGCGGGCTGCTTCTTCAACTTTAGCCTCCATGTTAAAAACCGTAGGAGAGAAATTAAAACCTTTTTAATATATTATAAATGGTAAGTTCCTAATTTACAATTTAAAAACAAGTATGGTATGGACTAATGACAAACCCGATTCTTGAAGATATTTATAAATTAGAATATTAATGTCGTCTGAAGTGACCTGGACATTCATTTTTGTATTTATGATATTTATGTTAACGAATGGTAAAACTTTTTTTTAAATAACTGACCCGCGACATCTTTTGTCTATCATTTATGTATTAAATACAGTTGTCACATATTATGTCACATACCATAAATTAATTAAATGTCACCCCCCTCTGCGTTTCATTTTTGAATTGGTTTTGTGGTTGAGATATCCAATACAATTATATGTCACTGGTCTATTATCACCACTAAAATTAACTGTCATGTGATCAATTTTGCCAAAAATAGATGAATTATTTTTAGCTTTTAATTTATTTATTTTTAGATATGATCGGCAAATTCGAGTATTTATAAATAAATTATATACTTACTTTACATAATTTTGAAAAAAAATATATTTAATTAAATATAATAATATTCTGTAATAATATTTTGGATTCATAAAAATCTCTAATTTAACATATTATAAACTTAAATATATTGATAATTTATAAATCAAAAGATAGAGTCCAGACAGTCATGTGATTTTAAAAAATCACAGTTAAAGTTTTTATGTGCTTTTCTCGTGATTATTAGAATTTTTTAAAAATACTTTTTACAATCTATATACATGCAATCTTTCAAGAACTTTCACTTTAAAATATTAACATTTTAGGAAAAGGTTGAATTATAGCTTTTTTGTAACTTTCTTCAAGTTTATCTTTATTAAAATGTAATCTTATGATATTTATGAAATTTACAGCTATAATAAAATAAAAAAATTTAATTTGCAAACTTTTTTACTAAATATATTGTAAAAAAAGATTACTCTATAAAAATAAGATTGATAAGTTTGTGATTATCATAAAATCTCAAAAATCACGTGATTGTCTGAGCCCTACCTTTTGTTATAGATCTACTTATATAGAAAATAATAATATAAAACTTTAACTTTAATTAAATATTTTATTTTATTAAAAATTATAATTACAGTTTACCCTTAATATAGTAAAGTAACCATTTTGTACCTTAACTTTATTATAGCAAATTAGTGAAAAATTTGAAGGATTTGATTTATTATTTTGTTATAAAGAGAAAAAATTAACATATTTAATTAGTTAAGTATCACATGACTCATTATATCAAAATTTGCTATATCAAGAGTAGACTGTATAATAAATTTAAATAACATTATTATAGTAATATAATTATAATAAATTTAATCATTATGATAATCAATTAAATTTATTAGCTTATATTTTATGATTAAATAATATTTATTACTATTTAAAAAAAAAATATTTTATAAGAAAATATTAATGTTAATACTATATAATAAAGTATTATTAAATTTATAATATTAAATATTAATTATATATTAATTTAAATTTTAAGAATATAATATATAAAAATATATAATCTATTACTTCATTTTTAATTAATAATTATAAAATATAATTAATTTTTAATACTAAATTTATTAAATTAAATTTTTAATTTTTATTATATTCTTTAACTTATATTTTTTAATTATTTTAATTAATATTTTTTTTTATAAAAATTTGTATTTTACATATCATATTTATAATATACCTATATATAGTTTTATATATAAGAAATAAAAAAATTATTAAATTTATTTTTAATAGATATATAAGATACATAATCTAATATTTTATATTATTATTACAATCAAAATTTATATAATCTTTTAAACTAATTTTAATTATTAAACTATATTTTTCTATATACTTTCTTTTTGCTTTTTTCTCATTCTCTTTTTTCATTAAATATTAATTTTTTACTTTTTTTTTCTTTTTAATAACTAATATGAATGATTCAAATTCTTTTTCAAGTAATAATGTCGAGATTTTTTTATAGAAATATATAAATGATATTGATTCTAAAATAATAACTTCTATTCTAATAATATAAGTAATTTAATTTTAATATTAAATATTGAATCAATCATTTTTCACTAAAAAAGTAATTTTTTAACATATTAAATAATAGGTTTATTAACAAGATTTTTTTGTTTGTAAAAAAAGATCAGAAAAAGTATAACTTAAATAAAAAAAAGTACTATTTATTTATCATTATTGTGAATGGGTAAATGTGACGCAGTTTATGTGATGCAGAAGATTGACCGATTTGACATAAATGATATATATGATATGTCAGACATATGTGGCATAACTGACATATTAGACATAGTTGACATATTAGATATAGTTGATATATTAGACATAGTTAATATGTTAGACATAGTTGACATATTAGACATGTTAGTTATATTCATCTATGTAATTTATTTTATATAAATAGGTAGCCTTTTAGTTCATGTAAAGAGAGAGACAGTTAGGAACTTGACAAGTTAGTTTTAGTAGTTTCAGAAGCAACTGGCCTATCACGTTACATTTTTGTTTCAGTAATTCTTTTCTTTTCCTTTCTTATTTTATTCTCTTATTTTCTTTTATTTCTTTTCTTTTACTTCTATTATTTTATTCAAAAATAAACATATTATTTTACACTTATAAATCATTGGTAATCTGTTAAATTATTCGATGTAATAGTATAAATACTTTCAATAAACTGACTAGGTTAAAAGTTTGTAAATTGTTGAAAGATTACTGCTCAATTAAAAAGAATAAACTACTCGAACACTACGTCTAACAGTTGTAGTTCACGAGAATTACACGTTAACATTTAGCGATGATGACAGGACCATCTTTTCCTAATTGGCGCAGTAATAACCCATGCAAAATACTCTATGAACAACTTTAGAGAATTAATTAAATATCAACGAAACCATTTAGCTATACACAATAAATCAGAGCGTAACTTTAGGAAAACTACTAGTGATACTTTAACTGACGATCCATCTTGCATTGCTTGTAATCCACCCCTAAGGAGATCCCTCAATCTTTTCTCAATTTCTTTGATTAAGCACAAAACGTCTTAGGAGCACTATTATATACTAGCAAAAGTTTAGAAGTCTTTCAAACTGCTGTCTCTGTAGAAACTACTGGCACACGAGAAATATATTATAAGCAAACATTTAGGACTTTGAGATATAAACAAGTACCGATACCAACTTTTGAGCGAGCCATTGAATATTGTATTCGGGCTCAAATTGAAACTGAATCATTCCAAAAGAAATATCAAGGCGATTTACTCAATCATTTCGATATATCCCTCTTAACTATAAGTCGTAATTCTTCTCCATCCAGAATGACTAAACCTCAAATAACTCGCAGAAATAGTGCTGCGTCTGAATCAGCAAAAGAAGATCAACCCCTTCAAGAAATTTATCCACCTGATGAGACTATCATTGCAAATACTACTCCAAGCGGAAAGGACCCTGATAAACGAACCTTGAGTTTTGATAACTCTGCCTTTAGTTCTCGCGGAGAAACTGGAAAACCCCTAAGCTGACCTATACGGGATCCTCTGACGAGAAAGATGTAACTTTTGACTAAAAGAATAATAGCTCCTCACGTTCCTCTAAGTCAAAAACTGGTCAAGACCGACCCAAAGATAAAAAGTCGAAGGATAAGAGAACTAGCAAACGGAAGAGTCGTCATTCTATGTCTTACTATGATAGCCCGTCATCTTCTTTTAATTCTGATTCAAGCGATCATAAGTCTGACGATAATGAGAAAGAGGATCCATTTGATGAAAATAACTCGAATGATCAAGATGAACGAAACTTCTTCTGCATGATGAAAGGATTGCAAACTGTTTTCAAAACTGTTGGATTTAGAGGACAGCAGGAAGCAAAATTTGTGGATTTACTCATTTTTAAAGGAGAGACCAGGACCCTCGAGATTGGTTGGAACAATATAATAATGCTGGAGATGCGAATGGAATTTCTGACAGACGACGTCTCACCTTAGTTCCATTATTCTTGAAAGGATCAGCCCTTACTTGGTATAATAAAACAAAGAATGAAAAAGACTTGCGATATTGGGATAATTCGACTGATCGATAATATAAATATCACTCCTTTGTCTATCATTTTTTGAAACATTACTGTACAACTAATCAGAGAACGCAATGGCATTCAGCACTTAAACGATGTAAACAATGACCTGGACAGTTAATCGAGGACTATACTGCCAATGTCAAATTATTATACCTTAAATTAGATCCTGATTATAACACACTAGAAGATAAGAAAATTGAACAATTCTTACAAAGGCTTCACCCAGAATTTCATACCACTATCGCTGCTGCTGTATCTTGTGATTTAGAAGAAACAATTGATCAAGCATGAGCCATTGAAGCAGTATTATCTAAGGATAGTACACTTTCTGTATACTCGTTAAGCAAGGCATATTTGAACCAAAAGGATGACGACGCTGTTGAGAATTCCACTACTACTCCTGACATTCAACAACTTATCGACCGAAATAATGATAAGTTGCTAAAAGAATT